TTGCAATCATAATACTGATTAGAAAATTGCTCTAAGGTTCCCAATCAAAGAGAGCACCTTCTAGAGTGCTCTGCAAAGCGTACTCAATGAAAAAATGTTTTATATAAATTTTGAGTTAAAAGAGCACACAAATCGAAAGATTTGCATCTGCGCAGTTATGAATACGCGATGTTCCAGCCGTAAAACCTCAGCATTTGAAAGTGGACTATAAACACTGCTTCGATCTTAGCAAATTGCCATAAGTTCATAAAAATGTTAACCTGGCCAGCAGGTCCGTTCTCTGTCACTACCATTTTTGTTCCTTGCTATTGTGAGTGCTTATGACGAGGAGAATTACAGCGATGGGCTCAGCATGAGTGCAGAGGAAAATTGGCCATGAATTATAGGCAAGTTTTTCTAGAAAAAATATTCGAAAATGTTCTCCATTAGACTAAAATAAGGCAGCTATAGCGAAAGCTTTTCTAAAAAATAAATAAATATTCGAAAATGTTTCGTCAGTAGACTATCATAAGGCAGCCAGAGCGACTTCACTAAGAGTTTATAGTGCAGAAAAATGAAGAAGAAAATTGTAAAGATGTGAGCTAAAAGCTGAACGAAACGCAAAATGTACCTCTCTAAATTCAGTTTTCGTTAGTTTTGTTTATACTCACATAAAACTTTGAGGCAGGTCGTTTAGCTAGGGTTCTGTCATGCTTCGCCGTGATGCTCAAGACCTTCTTTCCTATCCCAACACTTCGCCGACGGAAGGGTCCCGGCAAGAAGACATGCTCTTCTGCCACGCCCACTACAAAGCCTATAAGTAACCGGACCTTGGCAGTATAGTCAGTCGAGTTGCCTGCAGTTACCACAACCGATCGCCGAGACCTGAGCCAATGGAGGAGGATGAAATGCCCAGCTGAGGAGATGCCCCGCCCATCAAAACAACACCAAGGAAGGACTCCGGCCGGCTACAGAGCAGAAGCCTTTAACATGCCGAGCAACTGCCACGATGCCATCGAGGAGAATGCCCCCAGACCCTCTGCCGAGCGACATATTCGAAATACACAACAAATCAAATTGGATCGCGTTCCGCGGCCGTGCTCATCAACTCACTCTTTCAAAGTTTTCGTACAATCATTATACATTAATGGAATTCATCACAAATGAAAGTTGTTAAACTAAGTTTGAAACTTTTTAAATACTTCGCGGCTGTTAAACATTTTCCTAGAACTTTTTCCATTTCATTTTGAAGTTGTGGTTTCCTTTAGAGTTCTGTTTCGCTCTTCTCATGACGGAAGAAGAACTCGCTAGCTATAGGTTACAATATTAGCAGGTATTCTTCGACTTACTCACATCATTCTTTTTTATATCGAGGTATTTTCTGGGGCGGTAGTAAACCCCCCTCCCCCCCCGTATGTTACGACATCAAAGTCGCAACATGTGGCGAGCGTGGCTCACGCCGGATTCATCTATCACGCACCTTCCCGTATCTCTCAACACGCGAGCGTGGTGTGGTGCGAACACCTCGCAACATCGGCGCGTTGTTAGGAGGATGTGAGGATGTTACGAGGTTCACGATGTTGTGACATCGCAACAGGCGCGAGGTGAACTAGTGCGCGGATTGCAGAGAATCAGATAAGTTGCGAGATTATGAGCTCGAGCATGCCATGTTCGTATCATTCTATACGGGCAATACATTGCAGACACATTAATGACGCGCATTTTATCAGCTGAAGGAACAGAAACTATTGTGCATTTTTTGGGTTTCAACCTGTTTTTTGCATTTTCTCGACATTGTTTTTGCTTAACCAAGTTTCTTAGGAAATATAATTGTATCTAGGATCTTGACCAAAAAATTTCGTTTTTTAGCCAGAATCTTTATTGAAATTGTCTCCAAATCATGGGACTTTATTGTCGTGGCTAAATAATCATCTCTTTTGCTTTTCTTTTCAATTTACGCATGATTAAGTACATATCAATTTGAATAATGTACAGCAATCGATGTTTTTTTCTGGTTTTAAGCCGTATTTTGTTTGATTCTTCACATTTT